GATGGGTGGGTTTGGCCCTGAAAAGCCCCTATGGGGAGTGGTCAATTAACCTATGTATGCATGTATGTATGTATGTATGTATGTATGTATGTATGTATGTATAAGGAGAAATTTGACCTTATAACAGATTGCCATACTTTTGATCATTTTTATTTCTTCTCTTTAAAAAGGATGGCACCAGAAATGGCAGCTGTAGAGAGATTGGGAGGATATGACTTAAAGGTACTTGTTGATGCAGTGTGGGAATTTTTGTCTTTTAATTTTTTTTTGTTTTTTTTGCATAATTCTATCCCCATGGAGGCATGATGGTCTCATGGCTCAACAACTGATCGAGTGGTCCATGTTCAAGCTTTGGCCAGGGATGTTGTGTTGTGTTCTTAGGCAAGACACTTTACTCTCACAGTGCCTCTCTTCACCCAGGTGTCTAAATGGGTACCGGCAAATTTAATGCTGGGGGGGGGGGTAACCCCGTAATGAACTGGCATCCCATTCAGTGGGTGTAGAAATACTCATAGTCGCTTCATGCTACAGGAACCAAAATTAAGTGCTGGCCTGATGGGCCACTTGGCTCATAAAAAGACTTTTAATTACCTAAATGTGTCCCCTTGAAATGTATTGGAGTCAGTCTGGTGATGGGAAACAAAACATTTTATAGGGATGGCCAAGGGATAACAATGTGTCACATGATGATCATAATTTTTGAAGGGGTTATAATCATTCTTTTTGTTACAAAGTTCATATAAAATTATTAAATGTTCTCTTTTTGAACTTGTTTCTAATGCTCTTTCTTTCTAGCCTTCCATGATTTTGTAATGCTAGAAATAAGAAAACATGCTGTTCCTTAAGGTCTAAGTGTTAATTTTTTATTGCATGTTGATAGCTGTATGATACACCTCATTCTATTTTTTTTTGAAATCACGGTTCATCACTTAAATATAGTGTCCTGACTGGTTGATATCTTCTTCAACTGTACAAAAATCATGCCATGTATTTCAGATAAGGGGGTTTTATTGAGAAATGTAGTTACATGAGAATTGTATAAAATTAACAGTCAGAGAAGATTCTTCATGTCTGAGTCACAAATGTAAGTATTGAAAATAAACAGGAGAATTTCGTGTAACAACCATAGAATTATCCATTCTCTATTTCCCAGTGAACACATTGCCCACAACAATGGTCCTTTGAACTAGATACTGCAACAATAGGGTTCAACACTAACTTTTCAACTTACTAGCCCAGAGGCTAAAGACATCTTAGATGTTACAACAATTTCAGTTTGGTTACTAGCCCAACTGGCCAGTGGAAATTGAAAACCATTAGCCAAAACTGAATTTCTACGAGTCTGTGGCTAGTTGGCTACCGTTAGTGTCGACCCCAGCTACAAGCAGATGAAGAGTACATGATAACAATTATATCTACCATGAGATAAACAAGTCATGTAACTTATTAATTATTGATTATTATATTTTTATTAGTGTGACATCTGGGCTGTTGGTATAACAGCCATTGAACTAGCCGAGCTCCAACCCCCCATGTTTGACTTACATCCTATGAGGTGAGTCCAAAACTCTTCCTTACATACAGTACAGTTTAACCTTTGATTATCCAGACTTGCTGGGACTAGACATAATGGTCTGGATAATCAAGGGTCTAGATAATCAAGAATATGAATATTACTGAGGAACAAAAACTGATTAAATTAAGAATCAAAGCCAAATTTGATCGTGAAACAAAACATTTACAAAATTTTTTGAAAAAAATAAGGTTGCTGCACCAGCCAATAGAGTGTGAAATCTCACTTAGCAACAATGCAACTCTAAGCCAATCAGACCTCATTCGAATGTTCTTCATTAGTTACAACATGTGTGAGTGCTACTTTTGCTTTTTGAGAGCGAAATGAACTTGCCTTTACTTCACTTTTCAACACTGTAGTTTTGAAAAGAATATGGCTACGGATCTTGATCATGACCAGTAGATATTAATGACAAAATTCGGACCAGAGAAAAAGTCTGGATAATCGAGAAATCTGAATATTTGAGGCCTGGATAATCAAAGATTGACTGTATGACTAATTAAAGTTTCTTCAAATTCATAAAGTAACAGGGCATAAATTAACATGGAATAAATTAACATAGCTAAGCCAGGTGAAGGAGTTGTTACATTCAGGTGACACCAGAGAGGGATGAAGAAAAAAACTGAATTTACCAAATGTGAGACAGATAGGATCAGAGTTCCCCTCAAGGAATCAAACCTTAGAGCTTTGTATTATGGGTTTGGATGATGTATATAGGAACAGGAGCTGGTTACAGGATAACTGGTGGCCATGCTAGTCATTACAAGTCAGGGATTAAACTAGTAATCTCACTGTCTTTAATGCATTTTTTTACTTCATTCAATTCAAAGGGCATTGTATTACATTGGAAAAAGAAGTTTTGTACCTCCTACTTTAAAAGACAAAGATAAGTGGTTAGTATTGCCAGTCTGTGAACATTTTCATGCAAAAACAAGGATAGTAGTACAGTGCTGACTAATTTCTTTTCTGTCATCCATGTCCAATACAAGTAGGAATATCTACAGTTTGCAGAATTACATAGCACTTTTTTGACAAACCACTTTCCACTTGGCTCACGAGTTGAGATCTCGACTCCTCAGGTTGTGAAAACATCAGACACTGCTGCCAACAGTAGTCCTTTCCTCTTAATCCTTTAACTCCAAGAAGTGATGTATGTGTAACTTCTCCCTATAATATCTAAGCACTATCCAGCAAATAGGTAATGAGAATACTCAAACTTATTAGGTACAAGTTGTTATCTTCTTGATCAACACCAAATTCTTGTAACTAATTTACAAGGAAATGTATGTTAGCAAGAGGGGAGAATTAACAATCAGATCTTCTAACCCATTTCTCTCTCCTCCTCCATTATCCTAATCTCATTCTGAGCCACTGACTATTCTTATCTGGATAATTAGATCTCACTAGCTATTATCTGGTAATAATTTCAGGAAATTTCAATTGACGACTCCCTTTTTTTAGGTCCCCAGAACTTCATAGTTTTCTAAAGACAGCGCTACAGAAAAATCCAAAGAAGAGACCCACTGCAGATAGATTGTTAACAGTAAGTGCACTTTATTACACAACTCGGGCAGTCAGAGGGCCAATAACTAAAATCAACCAATAAAAATGCTCTATTGCTGGTCCGATATTCTCTAAGTATTGGACCGGGTACTGTCCCAAATGGTCCCGAATGATATCGGCCCTCGGTCTTGTTTGTACGGACCTTGCTGGGCTCGTTCCGTACTGTCAAGACCTCGGGCCGATATTCTCCCAGTACAACCTTCACGCTTGGTTAATAAGATATATTTATTCTCGAGTTTTTATGAACCCTTAAGTCCCTGAGGGTAACAACTGTCACTACGGTTTCACCATTGAATCAAATATTAGGTGCACAATAATTGAAGAAATGCTCACAAACTTGAAAGGCTTATTAATTTGTTTTTTCAGCTGATTTCAGTCTACCAAGGGTAGTCAACTTGGCAGATTTATCGCATGAAATAAAAATGGTTGCTTGGTCATGAAGAGACGTCAGAAAAATGTTTGTTATGTGCTAAATTGCAAGGCTGTGCTCTAAGGAAAATTGAATGGAGCCCAGTGATCTGAAACTGTGAAATCCAGGGTGCCCAGCATATGCTTTGTATGAAAAAAACTAAAATTTCTGAGTCACCCAAGAGCAAAAGTAAGGCGCCAGGGGCCACCGCGCGCTGCTAGAGCACAGCCTTGAATTGGCACATAATCAATGGCAAAATTTGCACCAATTAATTTTTAATATAATCTTTGTTAGTGTTTTCAATTACTGTTGATAATAGAGGGAGTCAGTTTTTCTTAACCCTTTAACTCCCACATGTAAAAGTGATCAACATGTAACTTCTCCCTATAATATCCATACATTATCCAGCAAACAGGTGATCAGAATACTTAAACTTATCAGAAAGAACTTGTTACCTTGATCAAACTCTAAATTCTTGTAACTAAATAACGAAGTAATGTGTAGCTGCTAGAGAGGAGAATTAACATTGTTCTCTTGGGAGTTCAAGGGTAAAATTATTTGTTTGGTCATTTGATATTTTTTGTCATGAACCTTAAATACCTCTTCTCTTATAGCATCCATTTTGTGGCCATGGTTACACCAGAGCAGTTATACAGGACTTGTTAGACACGTACAAGAGGAAAAAAGGTGATAAAGGTAATATCGCAGGACCAGACAACGATGATGAGGATGAAGAGGCAGCGCCAGTTGATGAGGTAAGATTATCAAGAGCTATCATGTGGCTGCTGCTGTTTCCAGGGTTGTACCAAAGAAGTAAGGCTGCTGGCTGGAATTTCAAAAGAAGAGGCTCAGTGATAGTTTGATATTGAACAACGTACCATAAGTATGCAGCCTCAGAATGGTCTGTGCACTTTTCTGGAGCAACTACTGGTGATTGCTTCTTTTTCATCTGGAATATTTGGCCAGCAACTAACATTTAGCAACAACCCGATTCCATTCTTGCATTTTTTCCTTCATGCTTCTTTAAATAATTATTAAATAATTTTAATAATTTTATTATTTATAGGACGCAAATTAATTAATTTATTGGGCCGTAGAGCTTTTCCTAGCTCTGCTTGAGCCATTGTGTACAGCGGTCAAACTTGTAATGTTTTCCATAAAAGTTGGAGAAAATTAATGCTGTTCAATTCACATGACAATTTCATTATTAACTTGTATTAAGCTTATGGAGTTGATTCAGTGAAGTTGAAGGGATAAAATTTGATTATGTTACAGAATGTCCAAGTTCTGACCAGAATTAGATCCAGGAAAATACCTGAGAAAAATCTAGAAAGAAGTAGTATATCAGGATCTCAAGGAAAGTGTAAGTGGGCCACACAGCTGCTCCATGAACAATGCTTTAAACAATTTGTTAATCACAGTAGATTTCAAGTCATACTGTAAATATAAATGGACAGAATATAGAGTGTGTGCAGTCACATGACTGTGATGTCAGAGAAATTTTATGGCCGCCATATTGGAGGAATGAAAATATGTAGCACTTGTGGCAAGTTGTTTTATTTGAAAACATATTTTCTCGAGCGATGCCATCGTTTTGCCTCGTCGTTGGCTGTTCTAACCACAAAAAGAAGAATCCAGGGCTTTGCTTTTGTCCAGTGCCAAACATTGTTACCAATCAAGGGGAAGAAACCGAGATTTTGTCCACCCAAAGGCGAACTCAGTAGTTAGCTGCCATTAGTCGAGCTGACTTGATGGAAAAAATTCTAGAAAATGACCGGGTTTGCGGTATCCACTTTCATTCGGAAAAAGCAGCACAATAATGGGATCCATTAAACCCAGACTGGGTTCCTAGATTGAATCTAGGGCACGACAAGCTAAAGGAATCTGACGAGAGGAAAGAACAACAACAACAAGAAAGAGCACAAAGGATTACCTAGAGGAGAAAACGCGAAAGAGAATGTGAGGAGCCAGAAGCTATGCAAAGGAAAGCTGTAAAGGTGAATGAGCCTGGAGAGCGAATAAGAGCTGCAGAACTTGATTCAGTGCTCAAGAAATTGACAGATTCTATTGACTTCTCAAGTTCACTTTTTAGTTTCTTGGCTGACGCAAAATTAATATTCTTCACTCTCGCATACTCTACTTGTTTTACTGCAGAAGGTAAAAGCCACGTTCATTTTACCTGTGTGCATGCAAGTTTTCCATTCAATCTTGTCCAGACCTCCAGCTAAAAAAGAACACTCACGATATGAGAACAGCTTTCTCCCAGTCCAGCCATACATCCCACACAATGTGCTGAAACAGCAGTTCCTTCTGTGGTTGTTATGATCCAGAGCTGCATGTAGGGGTCATTCATCATTTGCGAATGCCTTACTTTAGCAAGAACAACAAATTTATCTTGGATTATTTGGCCAAGAACACTTGTAACAAAACCAGAAACCATTTGATTGTAGGCAAATAGGCTTCGGAAATCCTTGAATTGATCCTTAGTGTAGAGGCTGGTCTCGAGCACAAGATATGACAAAATATCACAAGCTTCGACAGGAGGAAGGCATTCTGAAGTATATTTCTGCACCGGAACAAGCAAATGATCCATGCCAATCACTGAGATCTTTTCGACATACCTTTTCTTAATACTGCCTTCCAGTGAATTGGCATAAGGGGAAAATATAAGCTTGGAATCCACAATCGCTTTGTCCGAAGACGCATATTTTCCCAATTCACTGACTGCCATCTCAAGAATCACTCCTCCAACATGGCGGCGCCTCATTGTCGAACATTTCTATGACGTGACGCGAACAGACTCTATACTAGCCACATCTAACCTTGTCCTCAACTCTTTCACTCCCAAGATTTCATTTATAATTCTCCTTACTGTCTGCTGTACAATTCTTATGATGTTAGTTTGGAGAATTTGGTATTGGATCAACCATTAATCCCCTTGCTGATATTTTTCTTTATTCTCATCACTTGCCTCCTTGATATAGTATTCATATGGTTAGGAGAAATTCTGTTGTGGTCACTCATTGTAGTTAAAGGGTTAAATACAGTGTGCAATGTCCTTAAATATCCTGTATATCCCTCTGAAATATTTAAAGAAGAATATTCTTGTTTACAGAATCACATTTTCTCCCGCCCCCCACCTCATCAAAAATTCCTTGATCTGCCCCCAGTACTATGCCTAGCCTTCTTCCCATGATTTTCAACTGTACTGTAGGTGTGAAATGTTTTCAAGTAAAAACTTTTTATCCTTTGGTGATTTTTTTTTTGTTCACATGCAGTAGATGGAGTACAAGTGGACCCAATCGTAACGAGAGAGACAAGACCACAGCATCAGGTAAAAACATTTATACCACTTTGTTGCTTGAAAATATTTGTGGGAACATTATTTTGCAGTTTACAGTTGATGTACCCATTAATTTACACTCCTGGCCTTGGCTGGATAGTGCTACCCACGGGATGAATTGCTATGCAGTGGATGAGTGTTAACAAAGCATACTAAGCTATCTGTTAGATAGCAATTTATCCAGCCTTCAAATAATCAGGGCCTGGATGGAGAGAGGCACAGCACAATGATCTGGCCAGATCTCAAACCTAAACTTTGTGAAGGCGAGTCCAGCTTGCCGACCATTGGACTACTGGATCTCCTGGGAAGGAGAAGCGGGGGGGGGGGGGGGGAGGGGAATTGGATCAATTATGATCTGAAACCTATTTAAAGGTTATGACATTGCGAGGGAATAATTCTCTAGCTCTTATCTTTTCCTTTATTTACTTTAATAGTCAGAGAATGGATCATCAAGGGTACAAAACGGAGACATGGGCATGAATGAGTAAGGTTTTTATATTGATAATGAAGTCAACTGACATAAAATCTGCTCTAAGTAAAGTTAATAGGACCCAGTGTAGTCTAATTTGGTCTGTAATCATACAAGTGATTAATTAACAAAGTTGCATGTCTTGGAAGCTGGAGTCCAATTTGTCAATCACTTGTACGATTGCAGACCAAGTTGGATGACACAAAGTTCTGTTACCAATTTAACACAACTATTGCAATTTCCAAAAAAAAGGAAAAATTCATCTAGATGGAAAATATCTCTGGTAGAGACAATGTCTAAAATAAAAAATTCGTCCATTTTAGAAGTTCACCAGGTTTTTTAAGGATAAGTGGTTGTTGCTATGGTTATTGTCATCAACTCTGTGATTGGTGGATTTAGCTGAATGGACTCAGCATGATTGGCTGCTTTAACTGTTCAATTACAGGTGTCTAATTCAAAACAACTGCCATATTACATTGTCCAATGACAAATCTACTGAATAAATTGTGAAAAATAAAGCAGCTAATGCACCATTCACATTTGAGGAAATTTTAATGGTCATAATTAAGAATGGATGTGTCATCTTTAATAATATGTGACAGAAATAACATTACTTAACAGTACTCTCATTATTTCAGAGGTGAAGACAGTGGAACAATGAAAGTTCTGAATGCTGATCAGGGTGATGATGATAATGATGAGCCACCACCCCTACCCCCTAAGGTTTGAGTCTCAACATGCTTCAGTCTGTAGTTCCCATGTAACATCTTGTTCAGTAACTTGTCCAATGTATGCCATATAGATCTAAGTAAAACAAAAAGGTTAAGTCTGTATACAAGCCATGTGGCCCGTCAGGTTGGCGCCTATCTCTAGTTTCCATAACATGAAGTGACTACAGGGTCCGAAATTAACTTTTTTAGGCAGGCGCCAACTGGCGACTGAAATTTTTTTTCGGTCTCCATATAGAAAAATTTGGTTGCCAAAAAGTGACAATAAAAGTTTTTACTTTGCAGTGAAACAAAAGCCACACATTTAATTGATTTGGCTGAAAATCAAAGTTATTGTTTGTATAATTATCGTGGCATGAAATAGTTAATCGCCTGCTGGCGACCAGTTGTGAAATCCTGGTCGCCAGTGCAAAGTTTTTAGTCGCATTGGCAACCAGGAAAGCGCAATTTTGGACCCTGGACTAGAAGTATTTCTACTCACCCCTGGATGTGATACTAGTCCATGGCAGGGTTACCGCACAGCTTTTATCTGCTGCTGCCCATTTCAAGGTGAAGAGAGGCACTGTGAAAGTAAAGTGTCTTGCCTAAGAACACAACACAATGTCCCCAGCCAGGGCTCAATCCAGATTCAAGAACCTCAATCAAGAGGCTTCTGCATCTCCACATAGATTTAAGTAACATGTCAGTAATCCTGAATTTTTTTTTTCAGTAATTACTAAGTCTTTTTTGTTTCTTCTGAACAGTTAAACAGGAATTCTCATTACCAAGTGCCACAACCAAGTATGAAACCAGTTCCACCTCCAAAGCCAGTACATCTGAAGCTGTCAAGAGTAGCAAGTGCACAGGAGGTTGGCCAACGATCACCTCAATCAAAACCAAGAAAATTCTCAGAGATAGAAGTGCCTGGCAACCGAGTTCCTCCACCAAGTGTACCCCCACCGGTTAGTAACTTATAATTTCTCCTGACAGTACCCCCCCTGAATCAAATGTCAATGTCACGAGAATTAAGGAAATGATCACCAATTTGAGAAGCCCCTGATTAACTGTTAAACAAATTCTCCTTCTCACACACCGCTGGTAGCCATGTCGAGGTGACCGCCGCAACCTGACCTTTATGGCAACTCCAAAGCTAATACAAGTGGCATACACTAAGACCGAAAATAACGAAAAAAGTTTCCGGCTAGTACCTTATACGGGTTTTGTATAAGCATTTAAAATCTTTGCGTGGGTGGGCGGGAAAGTCGGCAATGGCGGACGCAACAAAAACATTTGCTCGCCCCACAGGTCACATGACCTATATCCAGGCCCCAGCGGCGTGTGAGAAAAACATTTTTCACTTATTTCGTTCCATTCAGCCAGTGAAAAATCACTCTTGTCAGTGCCGTAGGGAATGTAAATACAACTGTGTGGAGATTATGAATGTTGATTTTAAGCTGTCAATGGTTTAGTTAACTCCCAGAAGTGATTAACTTGTAACTTCTTCCAACAATATCCATACGTGAGCCAGCAAACAGTTCGTGAGCATACTCATAGTTATCAGCGAGAAGTTGTTCTCTTGATCTAAAACCAAATTGTTGCTACTAATTTACAAGAAAACATGTCGCTGCCAGAGAGGAGAATTAACAATCAGATCTTGGGAGTTAAAGAGTTAAATACTAGCAAGATAAGAGAAATGGGAAATTTTGAGCTCACTGCTGTCTTATGTAGAACGTTATTATTCATATCGTGGCAAGCAAGGGTCAAAGAAGAAAACTGAGTTCCCTGAGCTAGAAAAGATCTTTAATGAGGTCAATGCTAGAATTATGTGTGACCAGGGTTCTGAATACTGTAAAGGATTTAATTGGCTGTAAATTACACATCAGTTGTGTCAAAGGATAGTTCTTAAGCTCTGTTCTTACCGAGAGTAAAGGACCCGTTTAATGACTTCCCATTTTGAATCTCTTTCGTTCGTGCAATTCTCAACATGTTCATTGCCGAGGTAAATGAAATGTGTCCAGTAATTTATTCCAAGTCATCAATTGTTTGAGATAATGTCCTTAAAACAAAAAAAGACTTGTAAGTGTCCATTGGGTAGAAAATAGCAGTAATAATACTGATAATCTTAATGTCCTTAAAAGATGTCCCCATGATATATGTTGTTGATTTTCAGAAACTCCCAGTTGGAGCTAGAGTGTCAGACCCAGGAAGACTCTCTGCTGGCAAGAAAACTTCCGTTAGTGTTATATTTTGTTTCTATGTTATGTCGCCTCAAGGAATCTCCCTGAAGAGTTTCTCCTAGTTATAAGTAAGAGAGAAGGGGATGGCGCAATGGTGAGAGCACTCGCCTCCCACCACTGTGGCCTGGGTTCGATTCCTGGACCTGGCGTCACATGTGGGTTGAGTTTGTTGTTGATTCTCGTCCTTGCTCCGAGGGTTTTTTCTCCGCGTCCTCCAGTTTTCCTCCCTACGCAAAAACCAACATTCCAAATTCCAATTCGATCTGGAAACAGTGGACAAGTAAGAGCCACTCAATGGAATGTCCATCTCTAAATTATTTATTATTATTTATTATTTATTAGAATTGTTTGAAAAGACGCGTCTCCTCGTCCTCACCCTTTTTTCACTTTTCCCCAATCCGTTAATTATACAAAAGAAAAGAGTTACACGTACAACTGTACTTCTTTACAGTAATGACAGAGAAGCGTTTAGTCCAGTTTGCAGGGGGCATCAAATGAGGTATTTGGGTGTGGTGGGTAGCTCTCATGGCTCAGAAAATTTCTGGTAAATTGTTTACGTAGGAGAGTAAACACAACCCTTCCCCACCCCCCCGTCAATTTTTTTTTTCGGCTATAGAAAACGTAGTCCCCCATTTGCATGGAGCGTTTTACGAAATTCCGAGGGGTTAGGGACGTCTCTCATCACAAGAACTTTTTTTAATTACGTTTTTTTTTTTCTCTGATTGCAGATTACAACGTGTTTTTCCAAGATTTTTAATGAATGTCCACTTCATATCTATTGCACTGGGCTCTGGGTAAATCCTAGCACAGGAGGTAAACTAACATTAAAAGAACTGTTTTTGTAAATTTTTCTTTTTATCGATTTTTTTCGTGGTGACTTTCCTGAATACCTGGTTTCCTGCAATGCTTCTAAAAATTTATGCGATTGTCAGAGTTTGCATTTTGGAAGCGTATGAAGTTTTGTGGTGACACTGTTTGAACATCTTTTACACTTTTCCCTTTAATAATCATGTTTTTGTTGCTTTTTCCTTTACAGAGAGACACATCATTGTCGGAGCAGAAGAAGGTGTTTATTCTTTGAACTTCAGTGAACAATTACATGAGGCAGAAATGGAACAGGTAGTGCTATGGCTATTTTTAATTTACGAAGGAAGTTGTATGAACAAGAGTGCGTTTTTTTTTTTTTTTTGACAAAGCGATAAATTATATTGAAAGTTTTCATAATTTCTCAAGCCGTGGGCGAGTGCAATTTATAAACCTTTCAAAACATCACAGGTGACCAGAAATCACGAACTTTGCAACGCTTATTTTATGTCTTCTTTGTAAATTACTTGAAACCCTTGTCAATGGGTTTTAAGATGTTCGAAATTTCCTTTGATTTGCTAATTGATGGCTGTGACCGGCTACCGAACGTTTTGACTGTTTCAGCAGCATGCATCCGTAGAGCAAACTTCAAATGCTCTCATCTTTAACAAAAACAACACATCGTTCTGCCCATAGCAGAGTGGTATGCCATGAACTAGTATGCGACAAACCCTTGGTTGTACATAATTCTTTTTTAGAGCAATTTTCATTTAAGTTTTAAAGTAATCCTGTTGTTTTTCTTCGTTCTGTGATTGGTTAAAAAAAAAGCACGTGCCACTCTCTTACCCAATCAGATGTAAAACAGAAACCAACCACGACTTGGTCACCGGCGTTTTCCCGCGTTGTAGGCAGTGTAGTTGGTTTTACTCATAAGTCTCGCTGGCTCTTGTGATAACTTTGGTTTTGGTTCTACGCGGACTCTCGATCAAAAAGCGCAATATTCACTTACGTGTTCTCTTGCCTTTTGTCATAGATTTGTGCCAAGCGATGTACGTGGCTGTCAGTTTTCCAAAACGTGATGGTGTCACTTCAAGGTAATGAATCCCAAGCAAACCCCTTTTGGTCGCTAATATATTAGTACTCCTCATGATTTTACACATTTTTTTCAAACTAACTTTTGAGAAGATGGTCTAGCATCAGACTGTTCATTGGTGGGTGACTTTGGTTACCCTCTAGACCTCTCGATTGGAAACTGCTCTGATAGTGGAATGAGATGTTAGCTGTTAATCGATTGATCAGAAGGTTGTTGATGTGATTTGTACTTACAGGATCTCCCAGCTGTGTGTACATGCACAGCTTAGAAACTCTCCATGACAGGCAACAAGCTTTCTTTGCAACAGTCACAAGGTAGGGCTTTGGTGTGTTAGCCAGGGGACCGGGGAACCTGAGGCCCAGGGGTTCGGACTGGGGGGGTTGGGGGAAGAGGGGCCCCCCTTAGGAAACCCTTAAGAATGTGCTGCACAGTTATCCAAATCTGAGCTAAAGACAGGCCAGACCAGAGATATGAAAATGGGTGTGGAGAGTGGTGGGCGGGTCTAGATGTGCAAAGGATGGATGGCATTATCCTCAGGATAAATCGCTATCCAGGGGATGAATGTTGACAAAACGTACCATGCTCTCCCGCCGTACAGAGATTTACCCGGTAGATGGGTAGCGTCATCCATCCTTTGAACAACCGTGCTTGCTGGCCTCTGAAATCCACACCTGTTTTTAGAACAGGTTTCTTCAAGTTAAACCTGTTTTTGAGAATCCTGTTTTAGCGTTACTAAGCTGAGTACCAGTGCCGAAAAATTTAGCTCGGGTGATATATTTATTTTCGTTTTTCTCTTTCTCTATCATTCATTTCAAACTGAAATAAGAAATATATATTTACGCTTCCCAGTATATCCGATTGCAAACCATAGTGGTCTCAATCTATACCCGCTTTCAGACTGAAACGGTTCATAAACTTCGTATTCAAAACGTAATATAATCGGCAAAAGAAAAATCTCGCAAATGCAGCTGTCATACGTTAACTAATTTATGAAATCTAATAACTGCCTAAAATTATTGAAAGTTCCTGATAAGTTTTAGAGCAACTTATTGGGAACACTTTTCAATTTTTCTTTTTGATTTTCTCTCTAAAGGAATAACAGAATTTCGGAAACAAGAGGTTGTTCAAAGTGCTGTATTGGTAAGGCATTCATGTATTGAATATTACCTCTTTAAGTACTAACTCGTTATGGTCTGATGGAACTGAAAATAATGTACGCTTCATGAGAGGCACAATCCTTATACATTTGGTCATAATAAGATAAAAAAAAACCACAGAGTCCACAAGCGCTACCAAAGGTCGACAGGTATGTAATGTCAGAGTGTGCAAACGTAAACGCAAACGCAAACGCAGTGGTAACGTAATAGATTCGCGCGTATTTGTGGATCGTTTTCACATGACGTCACGGTGGTCATATTGGTTACCCAAACGGTAAAATAAATGCGGCCATTTTGGTGTTCCTCTCGATGCTACGGGATTTAACTCTTCGTATATTACAACAGTTGATTTACAGAGCTGCTCAGTGTGTGCTTGAAAAAGTCCTACAGAAATGTTTTTTAAAGTAATGGCAGACTTTTTTCCGTGTTTTCGTTAGCTTGTCTAAACACTCGTGAGGTTAAGAGCATTGTCGAAATTTAGCAAGCTCTTGACTACCTCACGGGTTTGCGTAACTCTATCGTATTCTCTCAACCAACCACGTTTTACGATGAGGCTGTGTAAAGAAAAACAGTTCTCTATTGCTAATTGGATACCTTACCTAAAATTCGACTTAAATCTTTTCATGTTTTTTATTTTTGTATTTTAGTAAATAACCCATACAACAGTCAGGTATACCTATGTGTAGCAGTGCAGAAGAGTGTTTTTCTCTACCAGTGGTATGAGCCTTGGGGTAGGTTCATGAAAGTACAGGTAAGGACTTCAAACAGCCATGTATGTCTTGCAAAATGACTCCGTCCTCGATCCTCGATGTTTTGGAGAATCGAGAATGCCAAGGATTGAGTTTCAAGAGTGGGTTAACTTAAATTAGGTGAAAAAAATAACGTCAGGAAAAACCTTGTTAACATTGTAAATAGGTAATAATGTGTTTCGCTGTATCGGCTACCCGTGTTAATTTCATTATTGGTAATGAAACACAAAAGAAAAACCTATGTAACTGTCAATAAGGAATGTAAGTAGCAATTCAAGTTAAAAAAAAATTACTTCGCCTAATCTTCTCGATAATCTCGTTATTATTGTAATCATTTAAGAGAAATGAAGGTCGAGACTAAAAGAAAGATCAATTAAAAAATTAAAAAAAAAAAGCTTAAATCCAAGAGCTACAGTAAAGTGGAACTTCACATTACACTTTGTCGACTTTCCTTTTATGCTCACTTGTTGTGTTCATTTCCTGTTGGCAGTACTATGATGTGGATATTCCGTCTCCCCCGCCACTCTTTGAACCGCTAGTCAAACAAGACCTGGAATACCCAATGATATGTGTTGGAGTAAGAGGATTGTAAGTAAAATATGATGCAGTGAAACCTGCGTGATCAAGCTAATTTGTGAAAAAGGGTGACTTGTACCTTTGAGATATATTTTTTTCGTTTGATGATATTTTTTGTTTGTTTGATTATATTCTTTTTTTGTCCTCTTCTCTCGGTAGGGCTGATGGTAGCCTTCATTTTGAATGCGTTAATTTGAATTCCCTATCAAATTGGTTCACAGAACTACCTGAGGGTAAAGAAAACTTGTCTGTATTCTTATTCTTATTCTTACTCTTATTATTATTATTATTATTATTATTATTATTATTATTATTATTATTAGAACTGCTTTTTGTGAAATATTTTTAAGGAAAAATCTATTATTATTATTAAGTTAATACCAAAGAGATTCAAAACTTTTCTCTCAGTTAGAGACTTTCTAAACTTGTTTTTGTAATATTTCTACCTTAATTATGATCATCATTATAATTATTATAAGAAGTGTGTATCCATGAGCTTCTCTGGGATTTTTACTGAACATTTTGACGCATTTGTTTTCGATTTTTAAGCATTTCATCATAATTTTGTAAATACTTTTAGTGATTACAGTGAATGAAGATTATTATTTTAATTATTATTATTATTATTATTATTATTATTATTATCTCGCAGTATGCACTTCTGAATGCTTCAGATTACAAATAAAATTGATATAGGGCGCCAAAGGCGTAGCCTATTCAATTGTCACTACTACATAGATAAAGCTAAACTTTAACAAATTGTGTGCCCCTAGACCCTAAAGGAAATAACTGTTCCATCAACCTATTGAAACTATGCTTGAACCTAGCGTCGTTTAAGGAACTTAGTCCGATAGAACCTTAAAAGTCCAGACACAATTAAACCTAAGAGTTCTAAAATGGTATACCCATAGACCCTAAAATGGAGATAAATGTTTAAAACCTATACTTAAAACTAACGTCGTTGGAAGAACTTAGTCAGATAGGACCTTGAAAGTCCTGGCAATATTAAGGGAGTTAGAGACTACAGCTTTCTGTATGTTCCTTAGCACTGGATGACATCGGCCACTTCCAACCAGTTGGCGTATGCTTTCCTTGACCCTTCGCGAGCAGGCTCCAAGTGCGTCTATTATGATGTTATGCTGCTCAATCTTGTACTCTGAGTTTCTCTTCTAAATTCGTACCGCAGCGGAGCGTACTTGTTCATCTTCTCTGCACATTTGATCTCTCTATTACTGACCCATGGACAGCTCATTTCAAGTAACGCTACTTTCTTCCTCTTCTTCTTCTAATTGTTCTTATTATTATTATTATTATTATTATTGTAATTATTTTTATTATTTATCAAGCGTAATTTCCTGGATAAGAGATGCTCTGCGATCCTGTGCTTTAGAGGCACAAGATTCAAAAGACAAGAGCTAGACTTAACTCAGATTTAAATCGAATATATTTGAGCCTGCCCGAATTAATCTCCGTTTTTTTAGGAATACGAAATTTTGCCTTGTTTAACTTGTTTCTTTTGTCTTGTTTTGTTTTGTTTGTTTGTTTATATGACTCTTAATGTACTATGGTGCTTAATTCTTACTTCATATTTTTCTGTAAATTATGTACATATTTTTAAAATTTAATAAAATTATTATAATATTATAAGCAATTGAAGAAAAGAAGAATGAAAAAAATTCAGACACTAGTTAGTCGCAACTACCAACTGAGCTACGAAGCCATTTATTTCATTTCAAGTTGCCATTACTGTTACTAATTGATTGTTTGTTTTATCTTCTATTTCGAATACTATTTTAGGAAGAAAAATTGAGGTGGATAGTGTGGATCACTTGGAAAAAGATACAGTTCTTGTTTCTTTCAACAGTATCCTTTAAGGTTTCTAGCAGCGATCGTATGAATTACTTTTTGCCTAAAACTTGGGAAACAAACAGTACTACTCTAAGATAGTGCTCATTAGCTGTCATTTGAATGGTTTCGCACGAGTTTTATGCATAAACTTGAGAGGAGTCGGGGGGAGTTGCGGTGGGACTGGCACTAATTCAGTTTTGTACTCCTTGCTGATCTCTCGCCGTCTCGCTGGATACTCCAAAATCACATTTCCGAGTAAGAACTGAGACCTATTATTTCCTTTTTATTTCCGAACTATTCCCTTTCATTTTTAGTCCTCTTGCCTTACTATGAATCAGATACAAAAGTCCGGATTTACGATAAGATTGTAAAAGGTCGGGACCTTATCTACGAAAAATTATTTTCCGAACTATTCTCGTTCAGGATCCGTCCTCGTGACGTATTATAAATAAGATACAAAAGTCAGGATTTACGATTAGATTGTCAACGGTAATAATAATAATTTATTTGAAGTCAATTACACAGGGAGTGGTTGCCCAGATCTCCCGAGCCAAAGGCTCACGACAAAAGTGATTGACAGAGAAAATATAAAAAGCATTATGTATTTACAATATTAAAAAAAAAAGTTATTCGATAATAAATATAATATATAATGTAATGAGTTGATGCAATTTATATAGTGGTGACAAGTGCTGAGAATAATCGTTGGAAATGATAAATATCAAATTGAACAATTGTCGGGACCTTAATTCAATTCGGGACCTTATTTACCGAAAAATGATTTTTCAGTTCCATTCCTTATTCGAAAACCTGATTTTGGAGTATCCATTTATGTCACGACTATTGCTGAAGCCCGCGTATTTTCCTGCGAGCGAAGAAATGAACGCGCGAAGCGATAATAATTAGGCCTGTTCGCCGGCTACCTTTTTTATTGCAGCCTGGTATTCCCCCAGCAAGGGGTTTCTTAGCTATCCACTAAGCTTACCAGAGCTGATCAGTTCTGCAATTCTCAGTACAGAATATGATGTTCTTAGTTGTCGGTCCAGTTTTGAGCGCTAGACTTACTATATAATATAAGACTTATTAGATGCCCGTCAAAGTTTATCTTCTGTTTAACTTGTGCGCGATTAGATATGGTTAAGTTTGTCAATCTCGAAGGCAAAACGAAACAGTTCAGAAGACAGTTATCAGAAATACATTTTGACATCAAGCCAGAATCTGTTGGTGAGTGCTAACCATATAACAAGCTGAATCATACACGCATTTTGATTGGTTCTCGTTTATGGGCGAGTGGAGGTCAGATGCACAGCTGACGTCGCCATCGACGACATTTTGCTTTTTCGTCATAGGAAATCTCTCTATTACTAAACAGACCGCACGGTCAGGGATTTCATTAATGTTTTCTGCAGGAGGGCAAATAGTTTTCACAGGCGGGCAAAACTCTTTGAACTGAACTTCTTTATAAGATAAACTTTCCTCCAGATGGTCAAATCAGGTGGGCAAAGCCGTCCTCACAACCGGTCAATTTGCCCGGTGCCCAGGCCCTCAATGAAACCCCTGACCGTCACGGTAATATTGAATCAATTTGTTAATTTGATAACAATCGCAAAGGACAAGTTGGAATAACTTAGAAGGTTATTTGGAGTAAGGAAGCCGCGTTTCTCGAATTGTCTCTTGTTGTCAAAGACATGGTGGCCCAATGTTTTGCATGATGGACTCTATTTCAAGAGGTACAAGTTTAATCCCTTGGTCGGGTCATTGTGTGTGTGAGAAGACGCTTTCCTCTCAGAGTGACTCTCTCACTGAGGAGTTTAATTTAGTGCTGCTGGCAAAGTATCCTGGAATCTGAACGAAATTCTTGTTGATATTCGTGATGGACCAGCATCCAATCCAATTATTCGCGCATTGGAAAGCGGAGTTTATCACAGGTCTTTAAAACTATTTACTGAAGATATTTAGGCTGGGACAAGTTGGTACGCACCAGTTTTACCCAGTTCCTATTTGCTTTTAATTCTTTGAAGACTAATTTCTGTCTCGGACAAGAATTTCAAATAGGTTTCATCCACACGTGGTGGATTGTTTAGGCGACCAGTCGTCGCATCGTAGCGACTTGTGTTTCTGAACTTAAACAGCACTGTTATCTTTAAGTGTTATGCCACCGGGTGAGATTATATTCAAACCCTGTCAATCAGATCAAACGTGGAAAACACAACGAACCAGTTGGAAGTAAGAGCAAAGACACGTGACCAGTGTAAAGAGCGGGAAAACGCGTGCAACCAAATCGTAATTGATAAAAGGTTGAAAGTAAATTGTTGTTGTTTTTCCAGTCTGTTTACAAGGTAGCGTCCTGGCGTTTCATGAGCATGGGTTACAAGGGAGAAGTCTTCACAGTGGAAAGGTATAAGGATTTAGACCATACAAAGTCCATACTTTTCAAGAAAAAACATTTTGGAGTGTATTAGTCCAATTGAGAGTCTTGTTCTTAGCTGCCAAGCCTTTGAACTGGAGCGAGGCTGCTGGTGACCTCGTCAGGATACCATCCTCGCTGTCATGTGAACTAGTTTCTTCTCTGTTCTAACAATAGCCAGGCAACAGAGCACAGAACTGTAAAATTGGCTGAACCTGACACATTTGTCATTGATCTGTTACTTTTAGAGAGTACTGCTTGCTTGTTTGTTTGATTGTTTGGTTATTGTTCACCATATTTGCTTTTTCTTCAGATTAATGTTGAGATGAACGATCCCCGACGTACATTTAGACTGCTTGGATGCGAAAGGTAGGAAAGCAATATTTACAGCAAGTTCGATCCAGGCATCGTTTGATCTTGGTTGTGTTGATAACAGTAGACCAAAAAAAAAACAGACAGACAAAGAGACTGGTAGACAGACAGA